CGACTTGGTTCAATCTATACATAAACTTATCTGAAATCCAAATGCGCAAATATTTTACAGCAAGAAACAAAATAAAGAGTGTCCAAATGAAGACAGATTCCCTAGCCAAGAAAGAATCCCCACTATGAACCAACTGAATGTAATCAGGAAATATTTCTAATGCACAGAACTTTACCAATCATACAATGCTGTAATTGTGTACAATACTAGACTGGGGGAAAAAAAACTATAGGTCATAAACAAGGTTCTAATTTGCTGACAAGTGTATACTTAGTGACGTCTTACAATCATGATGGTAAATCTATATTGGATTTCACCTTCTAAATTACAGGTCCTGAGGACACATCCCTGATGAGAGCACTACATATCTCTATTAAATTCCTAAGATAGCTAAGAGAAAAGAGACATTTATCAAGAGTGCTTTCTCCAAGTCAGTATACACTGATTTTTCCTGAACAAACAATTTCTTCTAGCAAGCTGGATGAATGTTTGACTAATAGAAAGTGCCCTCTGGGCCTCCCAAAGTATAGGGATTTTAGCAGGGCTTTACACTCTGGAACTATGCTTTCCACTAGTGTTTGAGTCCTCCCTAGCTGCCACCTCCACCGGGACTGAGGTCCCCCCAGTCACTTCTTACCATCACACTGGCATGAGATTCTCAGATACCTCCTAGGGACAGGAGTCAGTAGCATGGGACTACAGAGGGTACCAGACAATAATGCTTTAACTTTTCATAGTGACCATACCCAATCCAAGCATGTCAAAAGGCCCTGCAGAGACTAGACATAATGGAGAGATTAAGTAATTCACATAATAGATCAGAAAAACAGACTCTAAAGGACATCTAATATAACAGAGCTATGCCAGATACCTGAAGAATTCAAAACAATAATCCCCATCATCTCACCGAGATCAATGGAATAAAACTTCAACAATAAAGTTTAGGAGCAAAGAAGATATAGTACAAAGAGTAAGGCATTTGCCTTGCATTAGGATGACCCTGGTTCAATTGTGGGCATGGGATATGGCTCCTGTGTACCACCAGAGATGATATCTACTGACAAATACAGAAGCCAGCCATAAGCACTGCCAAGTGTGGCAAAAGTCTTTTATTTAGTACTCTGTATTTTCACTAACTTTCTAAAATATAATATAGCCTTTCACATTAAAAGAATCCAAATAAATTTTTCAACACAGATGGGTGCTGAATCTATTCAAGTTCTTTCTTCAGTCTACTGGTATCAGATAATTTATATCTTTACCATTTTGTTTGGAGGCCACACCAGACAGTTCTTGGGGTTTATTCCTGCTCAGTGCTCCTGTAGGGACTAGAGGGTCTTACAGGGTGCTGGGGTGGAGCTGAATCAACTGTGCAAGGCAAGTACCCTACCCAGTATACTATCTTCTCCAGATATGTATATGTATATATATACATATATATGTATACACACACACACACACACATATATATATATATATATATTGCAACTATAGCACTATAGCACTGTCCTCTCGTTCATCGATTTGCTCAAGGGGGCACCAGTAATGTCTACATTGTGAGACTTGTTACTGTTTTTGCTGTATCGAATATGCCATGGGGAGCTTGCCAGGCTCTGCTGTGTGGGCGAAATACTCTCAGTAGCTTGCCAGGCTCTCCGAGAGGGACAAAAGAATCAAACCCGGGTCTGCCGCATGCAAGGTAAACGCTCTACCTGCTGTGCTATCTTTCAAAATATCTACATGAAAATATGTCATTAAATAAAAGTCACGTAGTTTGGACAAAAAAACTAGTGTAGCAGGAAGGGCACTTTCCTTGCAAGCAGCAGACCAGGTTTGGAATATCAGCAGTGCTTCCCGTGGCCCCCATTCTTTATTTACAAACTTTTAATATACTTACTGTATTATATGGGGTTCTGGGCCATACCCAGGAGTGCTTATGGGTTGTTACATAGTGCTGAGTTTCAAGCCTGGGTGGATCACATGCCAGGCATGTGCCTTACCTGTTATACTATCTCTTTGGTGCTGAAATTCATCATTTTAAAAAGTGGGTCGGCTGGAGCGATAGCACAGCGGGTAGGGCGTTTGCCTTGCACGCAGTCAACATGGCCGACCCGAGTTCGATTCCTCCGCCCCTCTCGGAGAGCCCGGCAAGCTACCCAGAGTATTCGATATGCCAGACACAGTAACAACAAAGTCTCCAATGGAGACGTTACTGGGCCCGCTCGAGCAAATCGATGATCAACGGGAGGGCATTTACTAAAAAGTGGGTCAGGAATACAGATTGGTGGCAACAGTATTGGTTTGAAAATGTTGTATTTTGCATTCCTTACATTCCTTAGAAAAATCACCACTTTTTTATGATGAAAAAATTTTGAGATTCATTATTGAATTCAATTTGCTGTTCTCTTAAGAACTTTTGTATCCATATTTACCAGCAATATTGACTTACAGTTTACTCTTAAGTGTAATAAAATATATTTTCAGAAAAACAGCAGCTAAGGGAATTCATAATATATAAATCAGTTCTCTTAGAAATATTGAATGGCTTATATTAAAAATGCAAAAATAAAAGTGCATAAACTACTGAACACCTAATGGCAACAAATTCCATCCTATGAATAATTTCTCTAAATGTCAATAAACTGAATCTCCCATAAAAAAGTAGTTATAGCATTAGAGATGCTTCTTTAAATGAAGAGCAAACTTTCCAGCATGTGGCATTTGAGTATGGCATTCATTCATGAATTCTTTACTAGACCAAGAAAAATATATTTACTCCTAGCATGCTAATGAAAACATACATTTTCAACAATAAATATATGTCTAACTTATATTGAATGTTGTCTTGTTTTTTATATCCATAGAGATTTTTATTGCAATATTTATTAATGCAGACACTTAAGCAGCTTCTATGATATTTTAGGAAGAGTGCAGTCTCCTGTCCCTGCGCCTGGCTATTCCTCGCCGGGGTCCCTTGGAGGGGAGCGGGTTGAGCTTTCCTCCCCGCCCTGGCCAGGGCCCCGGCAGCCGAAGACCTCCAGGACCAGCCACCACCATGCTGAAACCACTCTCCGCACACCTGAAGGTACCAGCAGAGGGACAAAGCCACGTGGGTTCCGGGGCCGAGATCTCCAAGCCTACTCGGATTGGAGTTGAGCATCCTCCACCCAGATACTCCAAATTCCAGTAGGCGGGGGTCACACCCACCAACTGGCCCCCTGTAATCCCATCAGCGGCCAAGACTCTGAGACTATAAAAACCAGCTCCCGGAGGAGAAGAGGAGAAGAGCGCAGTCTCCTGCCCCTGTGCCTGGCTATTCCTCGCCGGGGCCCCTTGGAGGGGAGTGGCCAAGTGACATCTTATTATGACATCTCATTCCTACTTTGACAAACTGGCAGGCTACCGAATGTAGCCTGCCCACATGGCAGAGTCTGGCAAACTCCCCGTGGCGTACCCAATATGCCAAATACCAGTAACAATGATGGGTCTCATTCTCCTAAAGAGCCTTGAATATAACCTCAGGGCCAGGATGAAGGAGACGTCACTGGGGCCTGCTCGAGGCAATCGACGAATAACAGGATGATCTGTGATCTGTGATGATATTTTAAATATAAAGCCAACATTCCCTTTATCAGGTTTAAAAATCCCATAGACAGTTCGAAGGAACATACCCCAAGACAGCAACCACCATCTACAACAAACCCACAACCAATATCATACTCAATGGTGAAAAACTGAAAACCTTCTCCCAAAGATCAGGCACAAAACAAAGTCCACTGTAACCACTCTAATTCAATATATATTTGGAAATCCTCACCACAGCAATCAGACAAGAAAAAGATATCAAAGAGATTAAAAATGGAAATGAAGTAAAATTAATAGTATTTGAATTATATATACTATATATAAAAAAATCTAAAATTTCCACAAAAACCTCCAGAAATAATAAATATAGTAAGAAGCAAGTTGTAAAATTAATATACAAAAATAAGTTGTATTACTGTACAGAAATACTGAAGAAAAAGAAATTAAAAGACTATCCCCTTCAGAATTGAAAAATATGAAATAATTAGGAATCAACTTAACAAGGGAGGTAAAAGACTTACACAGGGAAAACTGTAAATCTTTTCTAAGAGAAATAAAAGACACAGAAAATGGAAAGACACTGCCTTTTCATAGACTGGAAGAATCAATGGTTTTTAAACGACAATCTTGCCCAAAGTACAATGCAGATTCAATGCGCTATCATTATAATTTCAATGACATTTTTTTCAAGATACAGAATAAACTCTATTCAAAATATGTATGGAACCATAAGTAAATGAATAGCCAAAGCAATCTTCAGAAAGCAAAAGAACATGGGAGGCATTGCAGTTCCCAACTTTATACAAAAGTATAATAATCAAACTGCATGATACTTGAATAAAGATAAACCTCATAGACTTTTCCTTCCTTGTCTCTATCTTCTCTTGCTTTTTGTATCTTCAGTCAAATTATTAATTAAAATGTTGTACAGATGGGGCCAATGCAAGCTTTTTCTGGGACACTAGTAACTCTCTTCTGGATTGAAATATATCCTTTGATTTGTACCAAACCCAACAATGCACGATATCCAGATCAAAACTCTAAATTTTAGTCTAATTTTTAATTTTATAGGTTAGATAATCTTGAAAAATGAAGTTTGATTGGAAACCCCAATTACACTAAGAAACTATAAAATAATGGTCAGCATTTGTCAAGAGTAAATTTGAGATGCAAATGGTATCTTGGATTTACTTGAAACAGTTTTTCTCCCAGTTTAAAACCCCTGATGGAAATAGACTTCTGAACCTTCATTAGTAAGATCTTTGCACAAACATTCAGGGTGATTATCTTATCACCTTAATCCTTGGCAGAAGGTCGTTGTGAGTCCTTGTGGTCATATTTTTATGAGGAGTGGGTTATGTTGTGTTGTTTTTAAAGACATTTTTCTAGTCGCACAAATAAAAAAGTTCACCCAATTGATTGAAATTTGGATTTATTTCTTCCTAAAGTTTGTACATATATCATATACATATTTTCAATCCTTTACTATTTTGCATGATTTCTATTACATAAAAACCATTTAAATGCATAAAGTTTTGTTGTCAAAACAAAAAAAATATCCCTCACTTATAAAAACACAGGAACAATTATATCCATGAACATTTACACAATAAAGAAATGTACGATTTTTATATTACAGCTTCTATACGTATCAGCCAACACACTGGCCTACAAAGTTTAGGTTTACTTCAATAAAGAAATATGATAATATTTATATACAATTATTTTAATAAAAATAAAGCAACTGTAAAATGTAAACTTAATTTTCAAAATATTCTTTAAAGACTTTAATAATATTAACATACATTACTGTCCCACTTAAATACCATTCAAGGAGACGGCTTTTTGAATTTGGTGGGTGATAATATGGAACAGGTTTCTAGTACATGATATTATATCACTAGCTAACCCATGTCTGCTAATGTTGAAAATTTGGCTGCTGAAAATAAGTAGGCTGCTATTTCATCACTAACAACATTCAAAACTTGTAACAGGACTGCAATGAGAATGAGATGATTAATGAAAGAAACTTTACAGTTAAAATCATAGTAAATAACCTAGTTAATAGGTAAGAAAAATTAGAACCTTGTTTAAGTTTAAAAGACATAAACTACAACCCTCGGCTTGTACAACATAATCAGGGCAAACAGTCTCATTTTATACTCATATAAACTGCTCTTCTGGAATGAATTTCTATAATTTCAGGTAGAAATAAAAATATAAAGAGGCATTAAGGCCTTTCTCTAAGGCCACATTTACCAGAGGAAAAAATGGGTAAGTGATGGTCTTAGTATTCCTTGACCCTTCCCACAAAAATTAAACAACTAGTACCAGAAATCTTGGGTTTAAAGGAAAGGTTTATATATTAGGATACAATTCAGCTCAGTGACACAATATCTATAGGATAGAATTCAGCTCAGTGATACAGCTTGCTTCTTGCAAAGGCAAAATGGGATTTAGGCCGTTGTTGGAACTTTTCTGAATTCCATTGTCATACGTTAACTAAAGAACTTTCTTCTCTCCTTCCTTCCTTCCTTCCTTCCTTCCTTCCTTCCTTCCTTCCTTCCTTCCTTCCTTCCTTCCTATAGTTTTATTAAAACTTATTTAGAAATATACAAGGGAAGAAAAATGTGTGCAAAAGAGAACACAGGCTTCTCTAGAGTGGAAAGAGGCAAGCAAAGGTACAGAGAGAGAAGCAAGTGATATACTTGTTAATGGAGAGCACGGGCTTGAAGGAGAGCCAGAGTTAGCATTCTTGAGCTGGTATCTTCACTCACCATGGCCAACTGATTGAGACAGCTAGTTAACAAGTGCTAGAAGTAGAATGTGTAACCCAGGATGTTCTATTACTTAGTAGAAATCCCAGTGGGGGAAGTAAATGGGAGTAGCTCTTGTTTGCAGAGAGAATACATTATGTCTCTGCCATGTCCCAGGATCCAGAACTCAGTGTCTGGGGTCTCAAACTTGCAAATGCTGTCCTTAACAATTAGCTCTGTATCTGAAACTCTCCTGGGATTGTGTGAAGACTCAGCTATATAGACTACTGGGACATAGTTTAAGGGAAACTCCAAAATATCCATAAGCCAACATTTTCACGAAATTTGGTTCTAACACCATTCTTGAGAGCTTAGTTTAGGAAAATACGTTTTAGTGAGGTCCTTTTCCATTTCCTTCCTATCTGTGACTGCTGGTGGAAAACTGCCTAAACTTTTAGCATGCAGATTAAAGAGTAGTGTGGATAACCCACAACTGCTCTTATGCTACATTTTTCACTGTATCTGTTTTCTTTTCTCAAAGGGATGCTTTTCAGAGTAAGCAGCAATGTCACCCTTGACAACAGTTTGAACTACACCAGTCTATACTCCCAATAACCCTCCATCTCAGATACTGCAGGATGCATCTTAGGGTATAAGAAGTCACTTATTTGGCAGGTCACTGGAAAGAACGTGCTATGCATTCTCTCACTGATTTGTTTAAAAGGCTGTTTCTCAGGGTTCACATATCCTTCTAGCCCTTGGGAAATACTCATGTGATGCAGTTCCCATTTCCACTGCCCATCACTTCTGTAGAAATTTAAACCTTTTGTGCTTTCAATTTGGATTTTAAAAATGTTCACTATGCATCCATGCGCACATTACCAACGCGAGGCTCCAGGCACAAGTACCTTTCTATTTACACTTCAAGGGGGACAGTGAACTGGCTCTGAGTTTCTCAGGAATGAAAAACTAACTACTCCAGATGAAAAGCAACTAGTTCACATCTTTTTCATCCCTCACTCCTCAGTTTAGTTTGATCTTATTAGTCTTATTCTTAAAGCTCAAAATGTACCCTTAATGATAATGAAAATCATTATACACAGGGCTGTTGTCATTCATGTTTAATGGTTGCTTGGCTTTACAACCGACATGGCTTTATAAATACAAATATTTCAAATAATGAAAGACCCAAATAAAACATTGAATTTTTCTTTTTTATGTAATTTCTCAATTAAATGGTCATTTTGCAAAATCACTCAATTTTTAGAAGAAAACATATTCTTGCAGAATTAAGATCTTGCTGATCACAGAGCTAGTTCATAGTGTGTCAAGAACAAATGAAGAAATATGACATATCTGCAAAAATAGTTCAAGACTATAGAGTTAATTATTAAAATATCTCAAGCCTAACAACCAACACATCACTGCAGCCTAAAGTCTAAGCTTAGTCTCCCACTCAACACCAACTGTCATTAGATACAAAGAATTTGAGGCAGCATGTTAAAACAAATACTACTCACTCAAACAGACTCACTTGTTGCTTTAAATACATCCAACATGCTGGTTAATAAAATTTTAATCTCTAATTATCTATTTACACACTAGAAGATAAGCAATAAGCTCAAACAACTAAGGCCAGTGGCTCTTCTTTGGGGAAAGGCAGGAAAAGAAACCTACGTATAAAAATATTAAATAAAGATTTAACATAACCCACAATCTGTTCTTAAATTCTTTTACCTAAATGCTAATGTGTGCAACTATAAACTTAGAATACAGTACCCAATATCTTGGGAAGTCCTGACAAACTTCAGCATCCTTAATTTCTTTACAATGGAGAGGGTCATTCTTTAAAATGAAGAGGGTGCTAGAAAAGTGGTTTGATCTACTGGAACTGTACAGACACAGGTACAATGATGATAGGTATTAATTTACTTTTCCTGAAAGTTCTAGACTATGGACTAATTACAACAATAAAGAACGTGAGCTTTAAAGCATCACATTTTGTAATAAGTCCAAAATTGTCAGCTTGACTTTATATTTAAGTGTTCTTAATACTGAAGTTATAGTAAGACTACACAAAGACTTATTTTCTTTCTTTGCTATTCCCTTGATTTCTTATATAGTACACTGAAATTGTTTTGCAAAATAAATTCAGAATCCACTTTGCCTTAGTGATTCAAAATTCAAGGATGAAATTTCTAGCATAAAATATTATTAATATTTAATCAAAATATCATTTGAATTTAAGTTCAACATATAGTACCGCTATATATACTCTCAGTATCTATATTATAAGCTCAATCCTATGAGCTTTTTACTTACTTTTCATATCATACTGGTTATTAAGAACAAAATTAATTTGATATACACATATTTATATACAATCTACACATAGATACATATACATACAACTATAAATACCCAAAAATACACAGAAGATGACAAAAAGCATTTTCTTTGATGTTTGAATACTACATAAATGATTATTTGCCAAAAGCCTGATACAATACATATACATGTAGGCTAGAAAGGATGAGCCAAAGAGACAACTGAATATAAAAATACTTAGCTTGAAATATTTCTTGCTGTTACTTTCAAGTCATCAAACTGTCATGCAGGTTCAAGTATTTATTGACAATCTCTCTACAAACACAGTTTCTCTATGTGCAATGATCCCCTCTTGTTCTGAGAAGGAGGCTGCCCCTTAGGTTGATACCAGAGTTATAGAAAAGAGATGGCAATGACTGCACCTCAGTCCTCTTTTCTAGAGTGAGACATTAAAATGGAACCTGAGAAAAGTCATGCCAGGGCACTTCTTGATTACTTGGGGAGATTATGTTGTGGTGAAATGCTCTCTCTCTAATTTTCTTCAGATGACTTGATGGTGTAAAGTGTAACAATCTATTGACACTATTGATATCTATTCATTTAGGCCAACTTGTAGACTGACTGAAAAGAGAGCAAAGCTCTGTTGCAAGGTAGACCCAGAGACTTATGGGTCTACAAGGCTGACTATCTTTTTCTGTCAGAGTAACAAAGTTCTGTGAGAAAAGCAGATACTATTTAAACCCAAGGTTACATGCAGTTAAAGACTCTCAATAGTTCTAGGATGTTACTTATGTTTTTGAAGGGTGTTAATTTCACAAAAAAATATTTTAAAACTTTTCACAACTGCTACCTGAAAACTGAAGGGATTATTTACCAATAAAATGAAGGAAGGTGACTACTAACCTACTGAAAAACTGAGGTCTCCAAGAATTTAGTTGCAGAAATTTGGACCTATAAAGATAAATCATCCTTCAAAAAGAATGGCCAACGACTACCAGGAAAAATGCCAAAGTAATTCATATTCCCACAACAAATGAACTAAACCCAAGAAGTCTTGGTAATAAGATAGTGGAGAAACATTTTAAAGGCAAATTTCCTTCAATTTGTCTATGAGATGCAAGTTCATGCACAAAATAGGGCTTGCCTTAGGAGGCCAGGGCAATCAGAAAACTGATTCTGTGCTTAGGTTGCAAAGGTTTCCTTCCCTCCGAGGTACACAAATCTTCTGTAGCCTCAGAATTTTGGATTTGGCCACAGAATAAAGTACAAACTCAAGATATAAACTCCAGGGTGGTTTTGTAAGGCCAATACATCTTCCCTTTGCAGAATTAATTTCCTCATATCAGTTATGACTAGAAAATTGTCCTCATCTTCTGCAATAGGATAAGAATCAGAAAAGCAGGAAGCTCTTGTATAGTGCTTTCTATTTTTACCAAGGATCCAGGAAATACCTGAAGATTCTCCCACAAATTGTTTTTACTGAGATATATTAAAAATGCATAATGTTTTATTGGATTTTTTTTAAATTTGGTCATATCCTGCAGTGCTCAAGGCTTACTCCCCTCCTTGCTCTACACTCAGAGATCACTACTGAGAGGCATTAGGAGTCGTTGGGATGCTGGGGACTGAACTAGGGTCAGCTGAATGCGAGGCAAGGGCTCTTGCTCCAGTTCTAACTGGGTGTTTTTAAATGTTAGCAAAATGTTTTAAAAAGTATACAGTCAAGTAATGTCTATGACCTGTCAACAAAGTAAAAATGCATTATGCTTGCAATTAAGTTTTGATTGCTAACTTGGGAGCGCATGAGACCTTCGTTTCAAAGTAACCATGCTAGGTGATGGAAAACCTGAAATACTCAAACACTGGGCAAGAGTGATAGCACAGTGGGTAGGGCCTTTGCCTTGCATGTGGTTGACCTGGGTTCAATTCCTCCATCCCTCTTGGAGAGCCCGGCAAGCTACCGAGAGTATCCTGCCCACATGGCAGAGCCTCACAAGCTCCCCATGGTGTATTCGATATACCAAAAATAGTAACAAGTCTCACAATGGAGACGTTACTGGTGCCCGCTTGATCAAATTGACGAACAACTGGAGGACAGTGCTACAGTGCTACCCAAACATTTGCCACATGGGCCACTACTATGGTCATTTTTTAAAAGATAATCATGTAACTGAAACAAGGTATCCTGATATATATCAAGATTTTCTATACTAAAATGACCATAAGCTGTGTTTGTGTGAAGATGAATAATGACTAATCAAATGGATAGAACTCCCAAGGCTCCCATTGCTGAGGCATGGGTGAGGGTGAAGGGGAAGGCAGAGTCTCTGCAGAAGGAGCAGAGGAGGAAAACTCCCTTGGACCCTGAATTGAGAATCAGGCTGGGATACCTGTGAACGGAAATATATTATATCTCTCTTGACAAGAAACTATAGGATAGAAATTATTATAAAAGCTATGTGGCTAGATATGAGCAAGTTTCTTAGAGTTATGTCAAATTAGGGGGGTCAGTTCCAGGATACACTTGGCCTATAAGGTGCAATGAACATCATGCCAAGGCAAACTATAATCCTGTTTCAAAAAATAAAGTCCATAGTTGTTTTAAAGTGTAACTATGCAAACAATTCATTATAGCTTCCAAAGTGCTCTTCTCAGCTAGTCATCTCTCAGCACACCTGGAGGTTCCTGGAGGTAACTCATGGGTCTGAGGACAGGGAGAGCACTGTGGTGCTGCGAGGCGAGTGGGCATCTCAGAACACAGAGCAGACAGTGTAGCACGTACCATTCCATGTATACTACTTACTTTAAGTACAAGAGACACTATAGATATATACATACACACATTATGGGCAAAAAAAATTCAAGCCTGTCATAAACATCTATTTTCTTTAATTATTATAGTTTAGGTATGACATTGTTCAGACACATCTCCCCACTTTGCTCAGGATAAGTATCTAGGAAGAAAACAAACAGGCTGATTATTCAGATTGTAGAAAGAAAAAAAGAATTCCACTGTGAAAATCTGAATTCTTTTGGAAGCTCTAAAAATGAACTTGGTGCAATGGTCCATATAGGTAGCTAATTTTGTTTCTTGATTACCTTAGTCATTGTCTCTACCTAAGCAAGAGAGTGTGAGTTTTCTAAGCATAAGCTAGACACTTATCACTACCAGGTAGTATTAACCTTAAAGATTATTTATTCTTTTCCAGATACCAGCAAATATGGGGATTTATCTAGATAAAGGAAAAAATGTCAATAAATCATTCTGGAACTAAAGTTTGGTACATAGGACAACATACCAGTAGAAACTATTTAATATATTTTCTCTCATTCATTTATTCTTTGGCCATAGTACCTTTAAATACTGAGTAGAGAGCAAATTTCAGTGTGAGTAAAAGATACTAAAAATTATTCCATTGGTTTAGAGATTGCACCATTTGTAGTGATTATAGCTTTAAGAACACAAAGTTAGAAGGTTTCAAAATCATTAAGTCCTAATGGACTCAATTTTCACCCCTTTCTATTCTATAAAAGAATGTACTCTACCATACTAGAATTTGAAGGGCCATCACTGGAACAAGATCATGAACGATTTTGAATAAAAAACTATCTAGAATAAACTATTTTTAGCAGAAAGTAGTAAAATGAACTAATTCAAGACAGATAAAAGAAGTACACTGATTGCATGTACAACTAGATTTCTCTATTTTCCAATTAAATTCAGTAAATTATGACTTTCAGACTTATCTGAAATAACTTTTAATTGCTGGCCTGCTGCAGATACCTTTCCCTATCTTATTTGTCATGATCAATGAAAGAACAAAAGGAGTACTGTTTTCAACATAATTTTGTTAGGAAGACTAAACTAGTATTATAATCAGGAGATTACCCCATGCACAACTCCATCAGTGTTTATATATACTTATATGCTTTAAAAAAGCCTTTCCCAGAGGGCAGAGTACTGACAAAGGAGATGATTCTAGATGCCTAGTGTAGACTTCTGGAATGAGGTAAACATTTCTGCAGACCACTCACTCACTCACCTAACTAACTGTTGCAGTTCCACAGGGGTTGATTATACCACTGCCTTTTGGAAAACAAAATAAACTCTGTGTCAGTCTTTCCTTAACCATAAATGGCAAAAAGATTCCATTTCCTCTTTTGTTCAGAGGTTAAAATGGAATCAACACATTAAGCAACTAAGTATACTTCTTATGTTCTCTAGTCCTGCCACTTTCATGCTCCCTTTCTCTACTTCCAGCAGGGTAAGAACTGAACAAGTGCTAACTTACATCACGTTGGAACATCTCAATTTCCAAACTGTAATCTTAACTGAACTTCTGTGACTGCTCAATCCATCTCTGTGACTAGGCAAGATTCCACAAAAAAAGGTTTATGTTAACTCTGGCTAAAATTTACTAAACTACAACGTTTTTCCAGTTAAGAGTTTCACAATAGATCAACTTTTTAACCTTCAAAAACAGAGGAACAGCTGATTTAAGAATACATAAAACAACTCAGAAGAGTGCAAACATGGAAAAACTAAAAGAGAACGGATATATAAGTTCATTTTGAAATCATAATTCCCTCCCCACCACAAAAGGTGCATTAGTTACCAAGTGAAAAAATCATCAAAGCAAAGAAATTAAGAGCAAAGAGACAATCTTTACAGAAACTAACAAAATACACAATAGAGGAAGCTACTAATGCACCATTTAGTCACAGAAATTTTTTTAAAATATATTCACGGATCGACCAGAAAAATCTTGAAAAACCCTTTGTGCTCCATGACCAGACCTCCCTGGTCACCAATGGATTTTAAGTGACTTTTTGCTTAATGCTTTGTGTTTCAGGTCGATGATCTTTTCTTTCTGACACATTACGTTTAACCTTGGCAGTGACTGGGGATAAATCTGGGTTGAGTGAAGGACTGGAATGTGATTTCTTCAGTCCTGAAGTCTCACTTTCATTGGTACTCAGGAGCTCCTTGCCTCCTTCCTTGAGAATGCTGACATACATTTCATAGCGGGTTTTCTGGAGGAAGAGTTAGAGAAAAATGGTAGTCAGTACACTTCACAAATTCATGCTTTTGTTCACAAATGCACACTTAAAGAGCTAACTGACGGACAGTGGATGACTGGCTGTTGACTTAATTCCCCAATCTGGACAACAGCTACAGGAGACTGATGAACTCATTCATTTAGAAAGAAAAAAATAAGTTATACATTTAGTTCTTGTTTCCTTGCCTTTTGGAGAAATATAAAAGCATTAGCTATAGATAGAAGAATCACACTTCTTAAACGTTCTGGATCAAGAAGGGTCTGTGTTGGAGGAGGTAAAGTTTCTGTGTTTTGCTGTATGTATTTGAGCTTTCCTTATAGGACCTAATCGACCTCACTTGAAACTGGTTTGTATAGAGTTCCTCTACCCCTCTAATTTCCCATGATTCTCTTCAGGACTCAGTCTCTAGTGAATCTGTTCTTTTGCACCCTCACAACACTCTGTAGAAGTTGCTTGGGATTTCCAATGCCTTCTTTTTTCCTCCGGAGAGGATTATTAATTTATCTTAGAGTTCTAAGGTTTTTTTTTTTAAAAACCCTCAAATTGTTTCTCTCATTCAATAAAATTATCTCATTAGATGTTAATTTTTAAATTTTTTAAAAATAGTTCCTTGATTTTTTCACCTTGATAGTTTGTTCTTATAAATTACTGATAAAAAGGTTTAGAGATTGGTTTACCTCTACTACTACTGGTACTGTTTATAGGTTTCTATCTGAATAATTATATAAAATTACTAAAAACATGCTACAAATTTCAAAGGGTCTCAAGTCCTTGACAGATTCTAGTCAAAAGAATTCTTTCCATGTTTCCTCACAAAGGATTTATATAGAAGGCCTGAAAGTTTTATTTTTAATCAAAGAAATATGTCAGTTATAAACGGTCCCCAAAAGGGCAGAAAATTTCATTATTACTGGATTTTTAGATAAGATTGACTTTTTGTCTATCTCAATTAAGCGCTTATGAAGTTGAATGTACTTGAAGCTACCTTTTCAAGCTGTTTTATTCAAAAGTGAGAAAAATGCTAGACATTAAATTTGCTCTGGATTTGACTACTACTTACATGGCTGATAATAGTGGCATTTATAAGAGTGTTATCTGCTAACTCTTTATCATTGATATAAAAGGTAAATTATTATCCTTGTTTCACAGTAAAGAAAATAGAGGCAGTTCAAAGCCAGGGTGAGAAAAGTAGAAAGGCTGGGATTTGAACTCAGGAGATTTGACTCCAGAATGCATGCTTTTTGTCAATATTTTTCCCTGCTTATGCATATTATGGCATATTCTGAATATTATACTCATTTGTCTACTCAAAAGCTCCTCTATGCCCTTCCCACTTCAAAGGCTGATAATCAAACACTTTCCGAGCCCTTCTTGCTTCATATGATCTTCTGGTTAGGAAACTAATTTTTAAGTTCTAATAAAAAATAAAAGGTCATCCATGCTTTAGAGGAGAAGCCACTGGCTTTAGTTCTTATTCTTGTTTAGACATGGTTGTGATTTTTAAAACTATCACCCTAAAGCTACCATCTGGAGGCATGAAGACAACAGGTCAACATGAGACTGAGGAAAACTGAAAGGTGAAAAGATCCTGTGATGACATAATGAGCTGGAACTAAATAAAACTCACTGCTATTTCTACATATGTTGATAAATATGAAAATAAATAATTTTAAGGGTTAAGTCACTGTTTATCATGTATTGTTTCAGTTAAACATTTTTTTATTCAATTACTGTGAAATACAGTTACAAAGTTTTCATGATTGAGTTTCAGTTATACAATGATCGAATACCCATCCCTCCACTGATGCACATTTTCCACCAGCAATGTCTCTGCCACACCTGCCCCTCGACCCCCATCCCCTACCACTATGGCAGGCACTTTCCTTCTTATTCTCTCTATACTCAATACAAATATTGAGAGGTCCTTAGTCTACATTCAACACACATCTCCCATGCCGAGATCCAATCCCTTCAGCCATCATTGATCATTAATGGTCCATCATTAATGGTCCATTCTCCACCCCAACTGCCTTTTCCCCTGCACATGAGACAGGTTTTCAAATTGTGGAGTGATCTTCCTGGCCCTTGTCTCTACTGTCCTTAGGTGTTAGTCTTCTATTATGTCATTTTATATTCCACAAATGAGTGCAGTCATTCTATGTCTGTCCCTCTCTTTCTGACAAATTTCACTTAGCATGATACACTTATAAGCAAATTTCATGACTTCATCTCTTTAAACAGCTGCATAGTATTCCATTGCGTAGGTTTTTTTTTTAAAATTTTTTATTTATTTATTTTTTAATCAATCATCTATTCTGGGGCACGTGGGTTGTTTCCAGATTCTGGCTATTATCAGGCATTGTTTTCTTGAGCTGAAAGCATTATGAACCGATAACACATAACCCAATTATAATAAAGAGGCAATGCAAAAGAAAAAATAATATACTAATCTGTAAGAACTACATGAGAGTTAATAACAAGTACTTGCTAATTAGAAATGGTCATCAGAACTATATATAAGTGAAATTGATGTAGGCATGTAGATAGGGAAAAGCCCTTGGTGATGAAACTTGAATTAACAGTTTCATGGAAGAATTCTAGGACTGATCCACCTTGTGGATACAGAAAACAAAGACCTGATAAGACCATCCCCAGACCCTGAAGATGTGGGCCTCCTCTCCATGAAATTCCTCTTTTTCTAAAATCTTCGAACCTCCCTTTCAATCCGGTTAACTCCAGCGACCCAGTCCCAAGGAGATTCCGGGATATTCCGAGTCAGAAGGATCTATAAGAGCCAGCTCAAGAGCCCATTTGGGGCTTCTCCACCCTCGGAGAAGCCCGCGTTCTCTCTGGACGCGTTATTCTCTCTCTCTTACTCTCCATTCCCCTGCTTATCTGCTTATCCCTTTCTCTCCCTCTCCAAAAGCCTCCAAATAAAATCTGTTACTTCACTGCTCGTCTACTCCTGAAATTCTTTTCTGCGAGCGAGATAAGAACCCTAGAAACTCCGGGTAAGGCTTGGGACTGGTCTCTCCTTTCCTGCAAAGAGCAAATTCTCGCCCCAACTTGAGTTCGTGGCTCCCCGAGAAATCGGGTGGCAGGGATTACCTCCCGGGTAGAGAAGACCAAGCGGACTTCAGGTGTGGCTTGATGGCCACCTTGTGGGGCTGGCGGGGCTTAGGCTCATGCCGAGCAGGTGCTCATTGCAGACTTCACTGGTCCTAGCCTACCCAGGGACTCTTGGGTGGCAGGGGCAGAGTGAGAGACAGTGACGGTCTTTCTCTCTTCCCGACTCATGTGAGCCACCCGTGGGGTCCACCGACATCAAAACCACAAGTTAAACAATAACCTAAGGATATAGTAGTTCTAAAGTCCTATTCATTTTAGAAATATAGTACTAATACTGCCATTAAACTGCCTTGGTTACAAGTTTTAAAATGCAGGGGATGTAGTGATAGCACAGCAAGTAGGGTATCTGCCTTGCATGTGGCCAGCCCAGGTTCGATTCCCAGCATCCCATATTGTCCCCCAAGCACCACCAGGAGTGGTTCCTGAGTGCAGAGCCAGGAGTAACATCTGAACATCACTGGGTGTGACCCAAAAAGAAAAAGGAAAAAAAAAAAACAAGTTTTAAAATGCAGAAAATAACTACTCCCAGTAACAAAAAAAGCTTACTAAAACAGTGTAAAGGTGTTTAAAAATAGATTAAGAAACAAATATAACACATGCATATCATAGAGCTAGGACACTTACACAATTAAAAGGATCACTGTTACTGTCACTGTCCTCCCGTTGTTCATCAATTTGCTCGAGTGGGCCCATTAACGTCTCCTTTGTGAGACTTGTTACTTGTTGGAGTACAAGGAGCTTAGGTTTATCAGGTTGCACCCATCACAGTGCTCCCGAGTCACTCCCATTACTTTGTCTGTAACTACTTCTTTGTGCTCTCTTTTCCCCAACCAATTTGTAAGGTCTCATCCTTCTACGACAGTGAACTTGTACTGTAAGTTAATATTGCCTTTCTCCTCTCCTTATGTTTTTTGAATAGTTTAATGCAATGTCCTTTTTGTATAGATACAGGAAGAGAATTATTATTATGCTTTGTAACTTAGGATTTAATTGGCTTTGAATATTATTCACTCCCAGCATCTGCTTTCTCAACTTAAGCTTCAGTTGCCCTCACTTTGTAGCACCCCAAGGGCAGGGTCCCGACGTGGGGCTGAATGGAACCAGGGCAAGCCGGTAAGTTATGTGCTACCCTGGCATCGAGATGGGCCAGGCCAAGGTGCCATGATTCTTAACTATAGGTTAAGAGTTTGATATAGGCAAATGCTGTCATGATCCAAAAGTAACGATGAGACTAGGACCCTGCTGCTAGGAATAGGAAAGATATCTGGCCTGAGCACTGCAGTCTGAGATCGAGATGGCCCTAGGAGAGCAATTCTATAAGCTTGAAGTATTTATTACTGTGACCATACAAAATGATTTATATTATATATGCTTATATGTTGGTCGGACAAGGAGAAGAGAAATACACCCAGGGAATTCTGTTCTAGTGGGGGTTGATATGAAAGAATCCATATTAGGGCATCAAATTTTTGTGTACTTTAGCTAACTTGCAACATTGCTTTCTGTAAAACTGCTTGGCTGCTTTGCACCTGGGGGAGAGGGGACTTGCAAAGTGAACAGGGCATAACTTCTTTCTACAAGATTCAGGTGTATTTACTGTCCCTGAAATGTATTGTCTCAGTAAAGCACCCTGCAGATTTGGGTAAAGGCTAACTCAGGATGCTGGTGGTTGGGGGAAATTGCACTTTCCTGGAATGTATTGTCTCACTAAAGCACCCTGCAGACTTGGGTAACACAAAACGAGGATGGTCAAGGGAGATTACCTAAGGCTTAATGATTCCAGCTATAACCTTGCTTGTGCTGACAATCGATATACGTAAATGCTGATCTTTGAATCTATAGGC